GTGCTGACTGCAAAGCAAATGAGCCCTGATTAGAGTGCTGAATTTCAAAAGAAATAAAAGAGTAACAAAAAGGTAATGTTAAATCATATCCTTGCAGCTATCTTTCTTGACAGCTTCAGTGACCTTCCCTCTCCAAATATTCTGGCCTCCTCTACCCAAGCTTCTGAACATTACTCTTGGACCATCCATAGATCACCACACTCATTCTCTTTATCTACATCCTTGAACATCTGTGAATGGAGGTCAGCTGCCGAAGTGGACCTGGACAAAGTCTCTCCAGCAATACTGACTTCTTGGTGACTCATTTTCTTGTGCCCATAGACTACCCCGTGTGGCTGTCCCTCCCTTTTTCTCTATTTTCTCTCCTTTAAGCAGTTTAGGTTTTAAGTTCCTGGACATCTGTCCTATTTCTCTGCTTCCCTTCACATCAGGTTCCTAGAAGAGCTACAAATATCAGCAGGGTGACCTTCCTGAATGCCAGAACATTCCTCATGTTCCTGGATCCTCGCCAGCCTACCTTTTGCCCCCTGCACTCCACATGACCCAGAATTAACAAAGTCCTCAAGAACCTTGGAGCTTCTAAGCAAAAACGCACCTCTCTTCACTGTCTTTGTTGGCTTGTAGCTTGCAGCCCACAGCTGCACAGTGTCCTGATTAAAGCATCCCAACAGGGAGGAGGAAGACAAGATAAGCAGGCAAATGATAACCTGTTTCTCATCCTGCCTTCCAGGACCAGCTCTTAAACCTCACCATCCACCTTCATTCTCTTCATCAAAGGGGTTCCTCTGATTTTCTTCTCTGTCCATTACACCTTTCCCTTTATATCAGACCCTGGACGAAGCCATCCATGACCATATTCATCCACATGCATATACATATATGGATCATCCACTATATATATAATTTGGAATAGATCTATTCCAAATATTTTTCCTCCTCTGGCCCTTACTTATGCCTTAGTTGTTAACATATAGCCAAGAGGTGTCTGACCGTCTACAAGCCTGCTCGTGCCAACCTTTTATTCACACTGGAAATATAACCTTTCTCTGAGGATGTCCCTGTATTCCAGAATAACAGGAAGCACAAGCAACATGAAATAGCTTTCAGGAGGAATTGACCAGCAATGGCCTCTAATGCCTGACCACAGATCAATAGAACTGTGGTCCCTCTCTAACCTTCATCATCTTTCAGTTAGATTATGAGTCTTTGACTTGCTGGGATGATAGCAACTTGCTCCTGGAGCAGTTTAGTTAACTATCTTAGAGGCCAAACCAAATACTAAATGGTCAAACGGGATTGAATTACTGGTTTCCAGGGCTTGGAAAACAGCCAGTGACCCAACCTTCAAGCAATACTATCTACCAATAACTACCAGGAAAGGCTCAACCAAGCTCCTTGAGAGCAAAGACTTGGTTGCTGTCATTTCTGTGTTCCCAAGGATACATGGATGCAGCACCCACCACAGGGAAAGCACAGACCCTTGACACTGTCCTTGCTTCCTGGGGTCAGAGCTTCACAAACAGAGGGTTTTCAAGCAACTATTTGGACCAGATGGAAAACTTCCAAATAAAATTTGGATGAACTAAAGGAGGAGAAGCAGGTACCAGGGGTGGGAGAAGAGGAGAAATGATGTATGTGTAGCTGAGTCTCATTATTCACGATATTTATGGTCTATGAAGTCACTGTGGGTGCTGGATTAGTAAATATTGAACCATTGCTCTCGGAGGAAACACAAGGTAAGGTTTCTACAAGCCTCTGGTCACAAAATTTCATCAACCGATCAACACATAACCTTGGCTTATGTGATTTTTCTGTTTAAAGATATCTTATTCAATAGATAACATTGAACAAGCAGGCAGCAGTACTGTTGTCTGTGGGAAGCTTGTCTACACACATGGTTTCTCTGTAAGGCACATCATGGCCTTGCACTTAGGAACACCAGACAGTGGTGCAGCACCACTCTTGGGGACAATTTTAAACAGCAAAGTCACCAACAAAAATCATGAAAAGGCAAAAAAAACAGCACTAAATAGATCATGAAGACCTTGGCTTGGAAGATAAGGTGCCGAGCCATGCGAACCGTTCACTGCTTTGCACATGTTCATAAATGACCACAAAAAGGCTCCAAGCATTGATTTTGGTAAATTTTAGCAAGTGGGGAGATTTACAAATACAGAATCCATGAATAATGAGGATTGACTGTGTGCGTGAGCATGTGTATGCACGTGTGTGTTTGTTTATTTATATATCAGACAAAATTCAGAACCTTGCAGCTGTCTTTCTTGACAGCTTCAGTGACCTTCCCTCTCCAAGTATTCTGGCCTCCTCCATCCTAGCTTCAGAACATTACTCTTGGACAATCCATAGATAACCACACTCATTCTCTTTCATCTACAACCTCAAGCAAATGACAGACATGTTGAGTCTTTAGAATATAACAGCCTGGCTTAGTTAAGACAGGGACAGTAAAGATCTAAGGTAGACCGAAGACAGGGCAACGAGACAGAAGCAGCCTGCAGCCGACAGTGCCATGCATGCAGGGAGTGGCTGTGGCCATCAGCCAGCAACAGACTCTAAGTTCTCTTGTTGAGGTGGGATGAGGGTGGATTATGGTGGCATCACGTGCCACAAGCAACACAGATGCTCTGTCAGTCTGTGGTGACAGATTATAAACATACCGTCCTTGTTCATTCTGCAAACTTCCATACTCAGCCTGGGGCATGATAGGACCTGCCCTCCCTCCACCCAGATGCCTTACACGGTCCTGTCCTGAGGATTCCCAGCCTAGTGGTGTGTCCGAGAGCAGCAACCACAGATGCCCAGCCATCAGAGCCACTCCAGTGAGGAACTGCCCTCCAACATGTCACCACCCAACCAGCTGGCACCTAAGAGGCTCATTTCCCAGAGCTGGATCTCAGCAGGAAGGAGACCTAGGAGAAGAGAGTGGATTTGGGGGTAGAGACTCCATAACCAAATGCTTTGGTTGCAGATTGGCAAGATATGACCTTTGGCGAGAATCTCCATATTGACAACTCCTAGCCCTATGCCAGATCATAAATGCTCATTCAAGTCTGGTGAGGGAATGAGTGAAAGAAACACAAGGCCAGACATGGTGGTTCATGCTTATAATCCTAGCACTTTGGGAGGTGAAGGTGGGAGGATCACCTGAGCCCAGGAGTTCAAGACCAGCCTGGGCCACATAGGGAGGCCCCATTATTTAAAAACAAACACACACACACACACACACACACACACACACACACAAACGTAAAGTGGCTGGCTGGCTGACCGGCTGTGAGGCTGCTTATTTTATGAGAGCATGGTTCCACGAAGGGCAGCATTAGTGGCCCATCAGGCTAAAACATCTCAGCTTTTTTCATCAGGCTGAAAAAGTGTTTTTTAAAGCACTTTTTTACATGTTGTCTCATCCATCCTCGGATTAACACTGTGTATCAGAGGGTGTGGATATCAATACATGCATGCCATTAGTTGAGTTAACTAAAGCCTAGAGATGTCAAGGACATCCATTTGAGCAAGGACATCCCATAAGTTACTGCCATGGCCAGCACCTGAGGCCACAGCTTTCTGATGGGTTTCATGGTAGGAAGCAGGCCCTGAGGTGTGTGTTAGATTCCCCTCTCATTAGCACTCAAGGCAGCCCCCCCGAGTCCCAGGACCCAGCAGGAAAGGGTCCACATGTCACCTGGGACACAGCCAGGGCTCTAGAAGGCCCACTCTGCAGGATGTGTGGTCCTCAAACCCGAGCACTGGCAAAAAAAAAAAAACAACTTAGAGCCAGCGATGCTTCTGGTCTGGCTCCTGAGCTGGGGAGTAGGCTGCCTGGAAGCCAAGCGGGCAGCCAGCGCCAGGCCAAACAGGCAATTAGCACCCACAGAAACCCCGCTGCCCAGCAATTGCTCAAGGCCATGAAACTCTGGGCCTACTGGTTCCTGGGGCAGAGGGTAGGTGAATCTGGAGCTTGTGTTGACACGGAGCTTGTATTGACACAGAGCCCCCAAGCCCCTGACTGAGAGTCCCACAAAAGCACCTGGACTTGAATTCACTATGCCCCCCAAGGCGAGGAGAGTGCTCCAGTTTAGACAACAACAAAGCCAGGCTCGGCATCCTTGTCTGGACTTGATTTGCGCTTTCCTTGTTTGATGGTTAGAGCCCTGCCATATCCACCTCCAGTGTAGACAGCTAGGCAGAAGCTCTATTTTGGCTGCCTTCTTTCAGGCTACTCTCTCTCCAATAAATGCCAAATGCTAATTTCTCACAATTCCCAGTTCCTGCTCCAATCCAGCCCTTTCCCACCCTCCCACCCTGGCCTTGGATGGGAATCTTCTTTGGCTTTCCAATGCTTTTCTCACACCGTTCACACTTGTAAGCCTGAGCTCATGTAAGGGGAGCATGCTGGTAGAGAAACTAGCCCTGATCAAACAGGAATGCAGGTACATTCCTGACACTGCTTGGGTGTTCCAAGGTTGGCTTTCAGTCCAGGGACAAATAAGGCTTGGGTGAAGATATGGGCACAGATCGTGATGACCCAACAAGAGGTGCCATTTCCCTTGTTCCAAGGAACAGTTTGGATTGGATGGGAAGGCAAGCTCTGAAGCCAAGCTCTTGGGCTTTCCCCAAAGGCATGCCTGTCTTTTAGTTGAGGAAGCTGTGATAATCAACAGGGAGGAGGTTCACTCTGGAAGAACGGACACATGGGTTGGTGCAGGAGGCTGTGGGTCACAGGGGTAATGGAAAGATAGAGACCCACACAGCAACCTCAGGAAAGCGATTTCCAAGTGAAACAGAGGACACATCTGGAGCTGAGGGGAGGGGGAAGAAGATACCACTCAGAACCTCTTGCTCCTGTGGCTGTGAGCACCGCCATGTTTCCCGGACATTGTAAGGAAGGAGACGTGGAAAATGCAGGAGCTCCATTCATGGAAATGCCTTGGTTCCTTTCCCTTCCTTTTCCCTGGGGAGAGCCTGGGAGGACGCCTCACCTGAAGAAGCCTTTGCAGCCTTCACAGGTCATAGCATTGAAGTGAAAGCCCGTGGCTCGGTCTCCACACACTCCACAGATGCGGGGCACATTCCGGTCAAAGTCTCCAGGGTCAGGCAGGGAAGTGCTAGCCGCCATTGCCTCCATCCCTGTAAGAACAGCAAACAGGCCATGGCCAGAGCCAGAGTCAGTGCCAGGGCCAGCTGGCATCCTTGGTGTCACCCGTCCCCCAGCATCATCCCACCGCCCCCACCGTCCACCACCAGGGAGCTCAGCAAGGGCGGGTGTGTCCCCAGGGCCCAGGCCTGAGCACAGTGCCTTTGGAGCCCTCATAAATGGTTCTCCCTACACAGCTGGCTTACAGCACGGCTTGGAATCAGCTGCCTGGCTTCAGATGCTATATCTGCCAGGCTAATTTGGGTTTGGTGGTTCACCTCTGAGTGCCCCCGCTGTCTACATTGGAAGAGGCACTTTACTTCCAGGGTGTATGGATCGTATGAACGAGCCCATGCATACTACTGGCACCAGCTCTGCTTCAGGCACAGGCCTGAACCAGGTCAGGGGCTTCTATTTATGGAAACTACCTCTGAAAACACAGTTAATTGCATGGGACTCACGTGACTCAGAAGGGCATTCAAAATAATGTTTTAAGTATTATTGCCCAAAAAAAGTGAGGGAAAGTATCTTGAAATTTTTAAGTGTTTCTCTCTTTATATATAAGTATATATTTATACTTGCTAAACTTTAATGTATACATACTTGCCAAACTTTAACATATACATTAAAGTATGTATTAATGTATATGTAATACATATATTAATGTATACATAATATACACATTAATGTATTATTGTATATGCATTAGAGTTTAGCAAGTATAAATCTAGCTGTGAAACAAATTAGCAATAGTGTTACTATTATTATTAGGTGCCCAACACCCCCTCCAAGGGAAAGTGAGAGTCCTTCCGTAGCCTCAGTACCTCACATGTGGAGAGAAATCCTCAGGTCTCCTCCTCTTGAGGGTGAGGGGAATTAAAGATTTAGGTGCCCAAGCCAGAGCCCTGGTCATTCCAGCCCCAGCGCCTCACAACCATAAAGCTCAGAACTAACAGGCTTATGCTCCTAGTGTTCTGGTACCAAGACGATCAAAATTTCGAGATACTTTCCCCCACTTTTTTTGGCGGTAATACTTAAAACATTATTTTGAATGCCCTTCTGAGTCACATGAGTCCCACGCAATTAACTGTGTTTTCAGAGGTAGTTTTCATAAATAGGCATTATTATCTAGAGGTGGATTTCACACTTGAGGAAAGAAGAAGAGATGGAGGGAATGGAAGGCATGGCTTTGGGAAGGCCTTCTCAGGAAGCAGGGGCTTGACTCTTCCGTTAGCCGAAACTGGGCCCTCGGCTTTGCCTGCTGACTCTGATCCCATCTACTGCCAGGGTCAGAGATGACTCTGGGATACCTCAGACTGCCCTAAAATGCTTTCAGACCCTCCTGCCTCCCGGTTCTCCCAATTTTATCCGAATTCTTGCAAGGGTCATTACAGGTTTAAGTTACCCCTTTGAACCAAGGCAAAGGGCCCCTCATGTCAGAAGGAAAATAAGAGAGAACGCCCAGAAAAAGAGGGTACAAGAGCCCACTCCACCCCAGGGCACCATTTCCTCCTGCCCCTGGGTGACAGAAGCAGATTCTGGGGGCCCTTGGGTGGCTCTAGGCCCATAATCCCTGACGCAGGGTTTGGAATATCAAAGCTTATCTTACTTCATCTTCATACCACTCCCTGGCGTAGGCACCATTGCCATCATCCCCTTTACAAATGAGGCCCAGAGAAGCCCGAACCTTAAGACATCTCTGGAAACTACTACTGCAAAATGAATTTTAAACATTTCTTTAAAATTTCCCCAAGAGCTTCATGCCAAGGGAAGAAAGTGGTACAGATAAGCAAGAATATAATATTATCAGTCCCAAAGGGACAGAGGGAATCCCAGTCACAGACACATCTTGGAGACTCCCTAACCTCATTTAGCTTTTCTTTTCCTGGAAACCTCAATGTATTAGGTTGGTGCAAAAGTAATTGTGGTTTTGGGCATTGAAAATAATGGCAAAGGCTGCAATTGCTTTTGAACCCTCCTAATAATAATAGTAACATTATTGCTAATTTGTTTCACAGCTAGATTTATACTTGCTAAACTCTAATGCATATACAATAATACATTCATGTGTATATTATGTATACATTAATGTATATATTACATATACATTCATACATACTTTAATGTATATGTTAAAGTTTGGCAAGTATATATACATTAAAGTTTAGCAAGTATAAATATATACCTATATATAAAGAGAGAAACACTTTAAAAAAAAATCATTGCAGCAATAGCAAAGACACAGAATCAAGCCAAGTGCCCTCAGCTCTGGACTGGATAAAGAAAATTTGGTATATATACCCTGAAATACTATGCAATCATAAAAAAGAACAAAATCATGTCCTTTGCAGCCACATGAATGCAGCTGGAGACCGTTATCCTAAGGAAACTGAAACAGAAACAGAAAATCAAATAGCACATGTTCTCACTTATAAGTGGGAGCTCAACATCGTGTACATACGGATGTGAAGATGAGAACGATGGACGCTGGGAATGCAAGTGGATGGGAGCAGGGGCTGAAAAATGACCTACTGGGGACTATGCTTGCTACCTGGAAGACAATTCATTCATACTCAAAACCTCAGTATCATGCTATATACCGTTGTAAAAAACCTGCACAGATACTTCCTGAACCTATAAGAAACGTTCAGAAAAAAATGAACAAAGGAATGATTAACAGAAACCTTTGGAGAGATGAGATCGGGAAAGAGTGTGCAGAGGCATTATGTAGTAGCAGTATTCTATTTCTTTGAGTAGTGAGTATACGTATCTTATTCTTTCAATTATTATCAGAACACTACATCTATGTTTGGTACATCTGTGTTTGCATGCCCTTCTGAATATATCAAAGGCTTCATAATTTAAAAACAATTAAAAATAGGAAAAGTGCCTGTGGGTCTATCAACATTGTCCCCATAACCCATAGAGCATCCCAAGTCCAAGCTGACACCTGCAGGTTTTAGAACATAGCACACATCTAAGATGTGGCCAGCATCCTGGAGGCCCAAGGCCATTGTGGGGTAATAGAAACTGTCCAGGATGCTTGTGGCTTAACCCTGGGTCAGCTGAGATGCTGCAGTTCCAAGTCATCGTGGTGTTGCTACAGAGTCTGGGTCATCCAGGCTCCAAAGCATCCGGTGGATTTCGTGGAAAACAGAGAAATCAAACGGTGGGTAGGAAGAAATACCCGTTAAATCAGTTCAGCAAGGGTTCAGCATCACATGGGCTCATGTGGAGGTGCTATGATGCAAGCGAGTTGGAACGACATCCTACCACAGCACAGCAACGGGACAGGCCTGCAGTGGGGTGAGGTGCTGTCCTGACATCAGGAAGTCTCCATGCTGAGGATGAAGGCTGGAAAGGCTGGATCAAGCAGCCAGAGACCCACAGTGAATGGGACCATTTCAGGGGAGCTGACACAAGACCCAGCCCTGCTTGGGCTTATTTACTGCTATCAAGAAACCAGCGCCCAGGACCAGAGTCCCCATGTGGAGAGGAAGCTCAAGCCTCTGCGCCCTGAGAGCTGAAAGTCCTGGGAATGACAGGCAGAGACTACAGAGGTCAGGAGAGAGAAAGAGGAGAGGGAGGCTGGATGGGTAACATCAGACACACAGGAGAGCCCACCAGGATCGTGGCCGGAGCCAACGAGCCTCATCTCCTGAGCCTCTCTCTGAACTCCCACCCATACCCTACATACTCCTGCATCTCAGCTGCAAACTCTGCTGGCCCAGGACCCACCTTGCAAAATCCTGGGTAGTATCCATTCCTCCCCCTGTCCACCATCTTCTTATGACCCACCCCCGCCCCTTGAAAGCAGAAAGCCAGGGAAGTTGTGGCTGATGAGGAAACACCTACCTGAAGGAGCAGGGGCAGGTAAGTGGAGCCCCCAGATGCTCTTCTATGAGGTCTCACAGACACTTCAGTCCCAAAGCCTTCTGAAACGAAGAAGGGGAAATGTTTTATCTAAGGCAGAGCATTGACCACCTTGACAATCTCTAAGGAAGTGGGTGTGAGAAGCTCTTTCCAGTGACTTTAGTCCCCAGACCAGGGACTGCAAACAGAAGTGGCTTGTTGGGGGCACGTGTGCCATGTCATCGCTGGCAGGGGTGTGGGGGCAGAGGCTGGGCAGCAGCCAGGATGGCCCTCCCTCAAGGCAGGGAATAGCAGAAGCAGTGGGAAGGGGTGATATGGAAACAGCCTCCTGCCTAGGCACTTCTCTCACAGCCCAAGGTGTCAGGAAGGAGGAAGGGCCTTTTCCCTAGGGAGACCCTCCCACTGCTCCTTCCACCTCCAGGTTGTAGGCAGCTCTGGAAGCAAAGCAACTAGGCCACATGGCCCAGTACTAAGAATGGGAAGAAGATGGCTGCCTGAGGCAGGGCAGCGAGGAGCCGCACAGGAGCTGGGAATGGGGCGGGCTGGGAAAGCAGCCCACAGCCCTGGCCTTCTGGGACAGCTTCAAAGGCAGGTGTCTGAGATCTCCTGTCTGTGGAGACTGGGTGTAGGCGGAGCAGGTGCTGCAGGGGTTAAATACAGCAATGCATTGCTTTCAAACAGGATGTTTTCTGCCACTTTTAGCTCTTCCCCAGACACGCTCAACACCCCCACCTGCAGTAGGGCTGACTTTGGTGCCCAGACTCTGGATCTTAGCAGCTGGCAGGGGGGCCAGCAAGGAGGGACTGGCAGAATTGTGCTCTTTCCACTTCCACAGACACCCAGCCCTGCTTGTCCACCTGCAGACATGGACACACACACACACACACACACACACACACACACACACACACACCCCTTTCCTTCTCTGATGCCAACAGGAGGTGACGCTGGCAAAGACCTCTAAGCCAAACCCCAGATGGGGTGTGTCTGGACCCCAGCTTTCGTCTTTCTTTGGCGACCTCAGTCTTCCAGTGGCCGAAGCAGGGAAGTAGGAGAACTCAAGGGGCTTCCAAGACCTGGGTCCAGTCCTAGAACTGTGAGCTAGCTGAGCCCATTTGCCACCCCTTCTAGCACTACCAGCTCCCAGGGGGCATCCGAGGAAAACACCAGCGGACAATGGGCTGAGATAACCTAAGTTGGGCTGGCCCACCCCCAAGAAGTGTGGGCAGTGGGAAGTATCTGCTGGGGACAGACATGCTGCTACATGTCCCAAGCCAAGCCCTCCTTTGCTCACTCTGTTCCCATGACCCAAGTCCCTCCTAGCTGACCACACTCTGCGGGGTTCCCTCTCGGGCCTTATTGATCCCTCAGGCTCCTTTCCTGGTGCTCAGGAAGGTGAGGCGGGGGAAAGGCGGGTGCAGAAAGGAGCACAGCTTTCCTATCCTCAGTCACTGTGGTTTTCAGAGGTCACAGGTGACATCTAGGTAGAACACCATCCTGGAACCTAAAAAAAACATGTTTCTGGAGTATTTACTACATGCCAGGCCTGCTAAGCTCTGCACACATTATTTCATTTAGTCCTCACAACAGTCCTATGAGGCAGGGAGCAGTCCTACTTTACAGATAAGCAAAGTCAAAGTTCAGAGCACTTTGAGTCACTTGCCCAGGGTCCCACAGCCAGGCAAGGGTGGTGCCTGGGGCCAAACGAGGACAGGCTAATTGCAGTCCCCAACTGGGTCTTTTTCCAACGATAATCATCAGAGCAGATGCCTCCTGCTCCACACGGGGCCCTGCTCCACGTTTTTCCTGTGTACTCATTCACTTCACTCTAACAGCAGCCTCCTCCAGTGGGTACTGTTATTACCCCTATCTTAAGGGTAGAAACTGAGGCACAGAGAAGGTGATTGTCTTTGGAGCTGGATTTCAATCTAGGTAGCTTAGCTCGAAGTCATTTCTGCAACCCTAAGCCTTGGACACCTTTTATTTCCACTAAGTAGGGAACAAGGCAGAGAATAATCTCCAGGTCATGAGGAAAGAACCTGGGGATTATTCTTTTCCTTCCAAGGATCCCCAGGCCAAGGGATGGCAGACCTCAGCCAGGATCCAACCACTTTCCCAGGATTCAGCCCCTCTCAGCTGGGAAAATCCCATTCAGTAGATGGGCCTCTCCTCCTCACTCAGCTTTCCAGTACTGGACGGTCCTTTTAGGAGAGATATCCTAGATTCAGCCTCTAAGTCCAAGTGCAAGCTTATGGGAAAGTGGGGCAAAGACATAAGGTGGAAAAGAGGACAGGTGGAAAAACTGCTTAATACCTGCCCTCTGCCACGTCACACGCCCACCCCACCAGCAATTCGTGTTCTGAGTACATAGAACATCCCACTGCTTTTGCTGGGACCGTCCCCAGAGCAATCCTCTCCTGACTCTGCTTTAGAAATACCAAACCCGTAGCCCTGAGCCTCACAGAAGCAGAGGGGGAGGAGCCTGACGCTGTAGAAAGCCCCTGGCTTCCATCCCTCCAGGGCCTGCATCCCACATCAAAACCTCTGCCTGACCCTGACCCCAGTCCTGACCTTGCCTTAGCAAGAAATGAGAAGATAACATATTTCCTTCCAGTCACTGAAGCCACAACCATTGCCTCTCCTACACGTCTGCCTGTCAACCCATACCACAGGCAGCCCCATCTTGCAGCAGCTTCTGTTAAATGGGCATCCCCAAGCAGTCTTGCCTACGGCAGTCTTTCAGGGTGTCAACTGCCGAGTGTCCTGGGCAGAGCCCTGGAAAGACAAAGATCAAAGTCCCTTGTGGCTCAGTTTAACTCCACATGGACTGCCCACCCCCCAAGGTGGTAAAGCTGTGACCACTAATGTCTTTTCTAGCTCTGGGAGCATGCAACTGCAAGACTGGAATTCCCAGCATGAGAAGTACTTTTTTTTTCTTTGTTCTTAAGAGAAAAGGTCTCCTCTGTTACCCAGGCTAGAGTGCAGTTGGACAATTACAGCTTGCCGCAGCCTCTAATTCCTGGGCTCAAGCAATCTTCCACCTCAGCCTCCCGAGTAGCTGGAGTTACAGGTGTGAGCCATGCCAGGCAAGGAGGCCTTAAATGAGATGAAGCTTACTCCCTGATCCCTCAGTAACCAAATGAACCCAACATTCATGCCTCAGTGAGTGAGGTTCACTCATCCTCAGAGGCCAATGAGCAGGAAGGGTACAAAAGCTGTGGCCCCTAATCAACCCCAGTGAGAAGCGGAGCCCAGGAGAGGGGTCCTCTCTCCATCAGGTTGGGACTGGAATGATCTAAACTGGGCTTTCTAATTGTTGACATTGTTCCAAAGTTCCCATTCCTTCTAGAAGAAAATGGAAAGCCAAGAAAGTTCCCCACAGAGGAGGAGACAACTCTTCCTCTTTCTAAAATTGGCACGTAGAGTCAGCCACATGTTGGGCTTTTCCAGGAGAAGATATGCCTGTGTGTCCGCCAGCCACAACTGCACAGGTCCTGTGCGCGCACACCCTTGTCATGCTATTTTTCGTTTCATTATCCCCTAAACTCTGCCTCATCAAGTGCTGAGCACTGCATGACCTACCTTTTTATTTGTCATCTCTTTGTTCTGGTACATAACTCAGGCATAACAACATTATGACCAGCTAAGGTAATACCCTCTCTTCCTTCTCCACCATCCCCAACAACCCACTCGCTTTGTCCACAACAATCTCAGGCCCTCCCAGAGGAAGCTGACCAGGAACAGAGCAAGGGGAGAGGGTTTACTGTATAAATAGAACTTATCCAGACAACTTCCTGCCCTGACTGTCTCCCCCAGCTCCTTCATACACACGTATTTTAAACATAGGTAAGAATGATTGGAAATTATTTTCTACAGATCACAATGTTCACAGCAAAACCCAATAGATAACATTCAGCTCAGAAAAATCTCAAGATTGGAAGGCAAAAGCACCACCTAGTCCAATCATCTTAAATTCCTTTGGTAATATTCTAGCCAAACAGTTTTCTAGCCCGTGCTTGAATAATTTTCCTAGTGCAGAGCCACCTCCCACGGTATCCACTCTCTTTGGATGACTCTATGCTTAGAAAGCTCTTTATCATACACAGATGGAATAGCCCCCGTCTTTCAATGTAGTTTTCAATGGCTGCTCGTAGACAGCTCTTAGCAGCCACATTAGACAAACCTACTAGGCCATTCACACAGGAGCTCTAGAGGAGGTTTTGGGGGCCGCCATATGGTGCCATAGGCACATTGGAAAAAGAGCCCTGGCCAGGCGCAGTGGCTCAAGCTGTAATCCCAGCACTTTGGGAGGCCGAGGCGGGCAGATCACTTGAGGTCAGGAGTTTGAGACCAGCCTGGCTAACATGGTGAAACACTCTCTCTACTAAAAAAAAATACAAAAATTAGCCAGGTATGGTGGTGGGCACCTGTAATCCCAGTTACTCGAGAGGCTAAGGCAGGAGAACTGCTTGAACTTGGGAAGCAGAAGTTGCAGTGAGCAGAAATCGCACCATTACACTCCAGCCTGGGTGACAAGAGTGAAACTCCGTCTCAAGAAAAAAGAAAAAGAATCCTTTTTTCTCAGACACTTAGACTTTTCTAAAACATTAAGCCCTAAGACACTTCACTTCCATCAGTCAGAAAATCATCATAAAAATAGAAAACTCTACAATGCTTATGTTGTGATTGAGGTTCGAGGGGAGAAGCAGCAGATAGCCTGGGCTACATTTAATTTTGATTTAGACCCCATCAGCTTTCCAGGTTTGATCATGATCCCCACAAGAAGAGCGACTAAGGTGGTAGCGCAGACAGCGTCCGCCTTTGTGCCCTGCACCGGGAGGGAACAGCGTCTGTTCCATGGAAAGAGCCCATGATGCAGTCTGAGTGCTGGGTGTGCGCCTAGCAGGCCTGCTGCCTCCTCTATCTGCCACTTGGCTCTTTCCAGAGGAGGCTGGGCCCCAGCAACCCGGCTCTAAGGACCTCTAAGAACATTTAAGAGGCTCACCAGTCATGACTGACTGAACGATGGGAAATTCAGGGCCTGATGACACAGTAGTTGCAG